ATCGGAAGATTAGAGAGAATTCTTTCCAACAAATCGTCGGGGAGGAGAGAATCCATAGACCAGGAGGCATTTTCTTTGTTTTCTTCATCGCTCTGTTCAGAATATGAACCACCACCATCCACGATCTCTCCGTTTGGATAGCTGAAAAGATGGTTGGCCCATGACGTCTCTGCTTCCATTTTCAACCTCTGAAACGACATTGGAAGATACAAGACACTTGCATTAGATGCATGTATATATAGATGAAATCTGAGAGAAGGTTTCTGAAAATTAAAACACTTTATAATTGATTCCTCCTAAGATAACTTTACAAGGACACCACCCACAAAAACCTTTGATATTCTCCAGAGACTGGGGGAACTGAATTCATTATCTATGTTCATTGAACATGAGATGCAAAGTCACCCGAAAGAAGGGGAGGTTCAATGTACCAATCCTATAAACACAAGAACCTCTATTTTGATAAATCTGCAACACAAAGGCTAGAGCTTCACCGTACAGAACCTCCTTTAAGACGACGACAACAAAACAGATTTTCTATTCATGAAACTTCAAAGGTAAAGGCAGAGACTGACGCTTGGCGATGGAAACGAAACATTTACACCGATTTCAGTTACATTTACAGAGGAACAACACATGGAAACGGCTGAAACTGAGATGAATATACGATTTATCGAAAAAGAAACTCTTGATCAACACATGCACATACAAGCTGAAAATGCAGATCAGTGTCCAAATAAAGTTACTGCACAAGGAAAAGGAGCCTGTTTCATCCTTCCTACGTCAAGATTTCTCGGAGAATTAATCGAATAAAAAGATGTTAGGTATACAAAAATCATTTTTTTTCCAAAAAGATGTATTAGGGTGTGTATACACATCAATCAAACATCAGAAAACACCCGCAGCAACATCAGCATGCCAAACCCAGCAATCAGGGATTACGAACACCGAACAGATCGACGAACTACCCATATGAAAACAGAAACACATACACTGAAAGAAGAAACCGACAGGCAAACCAGAGCCCATCTCAGTTTACTACATACCTTGTCCGAATTCTCCCTCTGAAGAAATGCGTCGACCTGAATTCGTCAGAATTCCCGAGATTCGAAGCAAAATTTCTCGCAAATTCGAGATATGCGGACAGATTTCACGAGGGAATGCAAGTGGGTAGCTCTTCCCTTTCAGAAACCGTGGAGAGATGACGGAAAGGCCGAAAGATGAGATTTTTCCCAGAAATAGAAGATAACAATGAAATGGGTCTCTCAGAAATTCGACTAATAAACAAGGAGGCGGTCCATTCATCAAGAAAACTGAGGGAAAGAAGCTCTACGTCGCTGTGGAGAGAGTGAGAAAGGGGCGTTTCACGTCTCTTTCCTTTTCATTTCTAATTTTTTTTCCCTGACCTGGTTGAGACAGAGAACAAAGAAAAAAAACGAGGGGCAGCGCGAGGAAGAGGGAAGACGCTGTGCTCATTTTTTTTTTATAAGGCTTGCGGTTAAATCAATGGAGCACAGATCGGCGCGTGTCGGCGCGTGTTGTTTTCCGTTCCGAAAAAACTGATAAATATAAATTTGAGATATATATACTAAATTGTAAAGAATTATGGGCAGCAATGGAGGCAATAATAATAATAATACTATTTATTCGCCAAATTATTTTTATTCTCTCTTACTCATCAATCCAAGTTATTTTTATTTTCTTATATTTTAATTACATTTTATTCGCCGGAAACGAGAGCGGTAGGTTTTTCTTGTGATTAATAGCGTATATATATATATATATATGTTTGTACTTATTTGACAAAACATATGAACGTTGTAAATTTTCAAAACGGTTTGCTGCCTAAGGTTTTTGAAATATGAAACCGCGTATAGTCAAATGTATATATTCTATATTTTATTTATTTAATATCTTAAAATATTTGTATATACAAAGTATTGAAATCGTCTGTCAATTGAAAGTTTCGTGTTTTGTTATACGTACACCGTTAATTTACAAAGAAGTCAATAAGTGGAATTCAGACAAATGTGTATAATGTAAAGGTAGAAGAATGTATGTATATGATTAATAGAATTGCACCATACTAATTTTTCAAATAATTTTTTATATTTTATATTTTTTTATATATTATCCGTATTCGATTGATTTAATTTAAATAAGATAAATCAATTAATTAAATTAGTTTTAAACAAATTACTCCGATTTTATATTTTTTGGTGTTTTTGTAAAATCAGTTTTGCTTTTCACTTTGGCATGTACTCAGGAAACCAGAAGAGGATTGCCGAAAAGGCCATATGCCATATGGGGTAACAATTTGTCTTATTTTATTTTTATTTTTATTTTCGTGAAAAAAAATGAAGAATAATTAATATTCTATAGTTTTTTCCCTCATAATAATATACTTTGCTTTTTAAACACTGAAAGGTCTGTCTGACTACACTTTCCTTCGTTAAGGCTTCGCATGGAGTTTCATGGTGGCCCTTCCTTTACCTAATTCACTTATATATAATTCCACATGTCTTTGTTGTCAACCATAATATATATATATATATATATGTTCGTGTAGAAATTAATTTATGATTACAGCTTTATAACAATTAAAAATCTTCGTGGCTTTCATCGTCACTAACTTCATTAAGGTATAAAGGCATGACTTGGTTTCAACTATAACCATTAATTCATTTCCCCTTATAGTTATAATCATTTCGATTTCCCTAAATTTAGTTATATACGATGAGCATATTCCCCGTATTTGATTCATTCGACCGACTATATTATTAAAAAAAAAAACGAAATTGATTAACACGAATATATGCTACAAACATGTATTATATTGCATGACTCATCTTGCATTTGTCAGTTTATACCTTTTGTAAATTTACACGTATAATTTCGTGGCCATTTTAAGTGGAAAATTTTGCGTATAATAATAATATAAAAAAACTACAAGAACTAAGAAAATGTTAATTCATATGGATTAAAACATGAACAAAATAACGAGCTTGAAATCGAATTAGCATCAATGCGTAATATCGTGATTAAAATGAATCGAATTTGACGGTATCGATGTTTTACTATGTTGATCCATATTATAATCAGATGGCCAATATAAAACATAAATTCGATGTATGAATTCTTTGATTAGTAGTAGTAGTATATAACCTTTTTTTTTAATTAGTTGGATCTCACCATATATATGTCATAACAGAAAACTATACGAATCAATTATATACACAGACAACTTAATTGCATCTCATATATATATATATAATTGATTAAGACGATTTTCAATTAATCTTTAATGTTTACGTACTATTTGCAAGTGGAGTTATGAATGGGAAGACCATAAAGAAAAGGAGAATTTTTGTTTCTTATATATATATATATATATGGCCTTCGTCGTGTGGCCATTGGTCTAGAAGCATATTATTGTACTACCGAAAAAAAAACAAAAACCATGACCTAAACTGCTTTAATTTCCGCCCTTGCATTAAAAATAATAATAATAATAATAATAATAATAATAATAAACATTTAATAAGAAGTCACGTAGTGGAACGTAGCAATACGTGTAGGAGAGGAGGGCTTTCACTAATACACTAATGGTCATTAGTTAATGACAACAGCATCAGTTGTCGAGAAGCTTTTCACACGTAACGAGAGAAATTAAAACACATTTGCTTACCCTTATGTCACATTTCACTGATTATTTCTTAATTAGCGAGATCATAAATGAATTAACGTTTAAAAATGCAAAGAGAATCTGTAGAATGATGTTCCTTCTCTAATAAACACATTTATAAAATATAATTTAAATATTCTGTTAGAAAATAGCAAATAGACCAATAAATCAAACTACTATGAATACTTAACCTGTTATGCTCAATAACACGCAAAAACATCATTAAGATAAATATTATGTAACACAATATATTAAAAAAAATATATGAAACAAAGCAATGGGGATATATTCAATAGCATATACCATCTCTGGATTTGGTTTTCTATATGTATTCAAAAAGTAAAAAGTATTATACACACACACACACACATGATAAGTATTATATATCGGTTGGCTAATCTCGAAAATTATATTGCTATCACTCCCCTTAAAAATATTTAATACATATTACACTAACAAAAAATATTTCATAAATACAGACATAAATTCGTCGATGTATAATATTTAAAAATATTTATTACATTATAACTCGAAAGATAATAATTTCTAAATACAGACATAAATTCGTCGATGTATAATATTTAATATTTTCTAAAAGGGAAGGAAAAGAGGAATGCACGTATCGCTTTAGAAACAGTAAGCTCCAACTCGATAATGAATCGAGACGTGATGAAATCAAGATTCCTTTCCTTACCAAAAATATAATAAGATACAAGTCTAATTAAGCTATTGGTATATATGCATAAATGGTATGTATCCTCATCGAAATTTATATAATAAATAATTTATTTTAGCACTCGGTTTATAATATCGTTAAACTTAATACATCTTTAATGTATAAATACCATTTACTTCAATTAATATATTCAATTTTGTATGTTTTTTCGTTTTAAACTCTTTATTTTCAAATGGTCCTTACCCAATGCACGGGGAGATGGAAAGATGGGCATGTTTTTGTGGTCAGCAAGCAGGCTTAATGATTTAGGATCCCTTACCTTTTAGAATTAATGAATTAATTTGTGCCAGAAAAGGTAATAAAGTTTTATTAATATTTTTTAATAAATCCAAAACGAAAAAATAAATAATTATTTTGAGTGAAAAATAAGGACTGTTGTGATACATTTACTATTACTTTTATTATATTATTAAGGATAGAGAGATCAATATTCCAAGCGCTAACTTTACTTTACTTTTATTATATTATTATTAAGACCGGAAAGATCCATATTCCAAGCATTATTCTCTCGTTCAAGATGTAGTTTTTTTTTTTTTTGCAGGTTTCGAAATTATCTCTCCTAATTTTTGTATATTTAATCATGTTTTAAACGAAACAACAATAAATGAATATATAAATAGCGAGATTTTTTTTGTGCAGAGCAAAATAATTAATTCACAAAAAAGTGTTTGAAAAAAAAAGTGTGTGAAGATTCGGGGAAAATCCAGCAAAATCAGAATACGATTGGATACTTTACAGAAAAGAAAGATAAACAATATCAATGGAATTAGAAATAAAATGAAGAATATATATTGTGATAGTGGCAAATGCCAATTTGTCATTATGGTCCTTTCCAGCCAAAGCCACCTTTGTGCACATTAAGTCACTTGTCACTTCTCTCATTCTTTCGACATGTTTATCTTTGCACACATGCATATACGCACACACACATATATATATATATATATGTGTGTGTGTGTGTGTTTGAGAGAGAGTATCATCTACATGGATGCGGAGAGAATATCTATGCCATTTTTGTGGATGCTGAAGCGCAATATTGAACTGGAAATCATGGGAGAACATCAGAAAAACATTATACAAATTAATATATCGAATACACACACACACACACACTATATATATATATATATGTTTGGATGAGCGATACATACATATAAGTATTAATTCAGAAAGAGGCATGGATGCATGAATAAAATAAATGTTTAGATCGTGCATGAACATGTTGAATGGAGTCGTTCAGGATCGAAAGTGACTGAAAAACATTTCGCTATTTGAATACGCATAACATACATATATTCTGCAAGAATTTTTTTTTTATTAGACTCAAACACACATATTAATTCATTTTTAACAATACTTGTAACTTTTGGAGCTAGTTAATATTGCTGAGATATACCGGATCATGAAGAATATTACGAGATATATCAATCTTATAAAATCCGAAAAATATATATTTAAAATATTTATTATTTTATTTAGTTTACTTATTCAATTTAAGACTCTCATCTATTTATATGTTATTCTGATTATGAATAAAGATACCATTCCGCAAATTTCTACATGTTATTAGAACTTCTGGTTCTTTTATAATTTATTGTCTTTTTCATAAAAATGATGATCGATAATGAGAGTGAAGATGATGATGATATACTGATCCAGTGGTAATATCATTTCGAATTTTTTTTTATTAAGCATAAGAGAGTCATTTTATTTTTGTTTTTGTTTTTATTCTCTCTCATAATCCCACATGTTTCTAAAGATTATTCGCATAACCGCCAATCATTTTATTCTTGCCAAAAAATTTGTTGTCATTAAACGCTTTCGCGTAGTTTCCTTTCAATCTCGGATGAATCAGAGTTATTCCCGAGACTTCTTTCCGCACCGCGATTGTCGTTCTTTTTTTCGTTATCATCAAACAATTCTTTTGTGCGTGGTGCCAAAGTTGCAGCGCAGTCGTTTGTTTGATTTTTTTTAGTTATGTCTTCCATCGACACAAGTTCGCAAAGTGATGTGATTCAAACGGCATGCGTTTGATCATCTTTTCAGCAAGTTGGATATTTCGTGATCTTCCACGCTTCAACTTGAAGGGGGTGTTGAGATATACCGGATCGTGAAGAATATTACGAGATATATCAATCTTATCAAATCCGGAAAATATATATTTAAAAATATTTATTATTTTATTTAGTTTACTTATTCAATGTAAGACTCTCATCTATTTATATGTTATTCTGATTATGAATAAATATATCATTTCGCAAATTTCTACAAATATTACATATATTATACCGAAAACACGGTTTTACCTATGACATAGACGATTATAATCACTCTATTAACACTACATTTGGACAGTCTACTCTGTTTATATTTTTTGTAACAAAAAATCAATTGCTAAAATGATGAGTTACAACTCGTTTTTTTTCCTGTTCATGTAAGTGGCGTGGATTTCGGCCACCAACGTATAAGACATGAGACAATGCAAGGTTGGAACCCACGAGAGTATGGTGGAAGTTCTCGTCGAATCACAAACACACAAATACCATTAGCAAATAGAAAGTAAACTATATATATGTATATGGCATGATCTTCATCATTTACGTTCGAGATTATATTAATTAATAGGAGATGAGTGATTTATCTATCAACGGTTGATAACGAACCCATGAAAAAGCATAGAATCAAAACAAAAGTTATTACACAAAAAACATGAAATTTTATGAATAATTGATATAAATTATAATATTAAACGATAAAAAAGAAATCGAGGGTATTGGTTGGTCGAGAAATGTGACCCCCCCCCCCCCCAAAAAAAAAAAAAAAATCAAAGGCAACTGGTGGGGAGGATTTGTAGGGTCAAAGAGATCAAAGGGTGCAATGATGTTGTAAGTGGACTCTAAACTAAAGTCATACCTCCACATCATTAATTGTTCTAATGCCTCCTTTTGTCTCTTTCCTGTTTCTCTCTCACGTTCTGTCTTTTTGCCCTCTTTGTCTTCTTCTCCGTCGGTCTCAATCATGCGATTTGACCCACCTTCCCTCTCATCCTCGCCATGGATGGATGCATTCGATCGTTTCCCTCTCGATGATTGTGATATTTTCTCTCTTTTTTTCATATATATATATTTTCTAATATGTATTAGTTTATATATGTATATATATATATATATATATATATATGAAAACTTCGAATTTGGCTATGAAATACGTTTCCTTCTTCGATTAATTACAGAAACCGTAATTGTTTTTCCCATTTGAAGCGTATATGCACATACATATAAAAGAAGTAGTAGCTAATTGAGCTATTATCAAACTGATTGGACAAGATATAATTGTGATGATTGATTTCATATTTCCAAAAAATTAAAATAATTAATTTGGTGGCGGGGGCAAAAAGAAACCAAGAAGTGCATGTGATTGCTTCCATGTTGTCCTTGCTTATATCATATCCATATATATAAATGTATTATACTCCCTCTCTCTCTATATGTATTGTTTTGTTGTCCATTGTTCATGAACAGATAATCTGTTACTGTACATATCTATTATTGCTGTCGTCCATATCTATCGCTCGTAATAGATACAACGCTGGTGATCTATGCATTTTAAATTATTTCCATAGAAAATCTCATCGATATTGAAAAGAAAATGCATATATATACTGTTTAAACATATATATCACCATTTTATAACAGTGGTTTACAGAAAAAATGCTGATTTTTCCCTCCCCAAGTGTAATAAATACGTCGTGTATTATTACACATCCTCAACTAACTACCAAACCCTAATTTCGGGCCCATGCACAGACTTTTTTCAGACAGATATATACACAAATACGTACATACACGTATACGTATGTATGCAAGTGATTTTCTGATCCATGGGGAAGTTAAACGAAGTGAAAAGGATAAAAAAAAAAGGGACTCACATCGGGGGCTGGGCTCTGGTGCTACGCACCTCAGCTGCCATAACCTACGCCTCTCTGCTACTCTGCTAAATGCGACTCCCGAGCCCTGTTGATGATCCCTATGCCATTTTCTCCTCTGTCTTCTGTTTCTGCGTTTAAAAAAAACTTTTTTTTTTCCACCCCTCTTTCGGCGTGACGTCATTTTTACTTCCCCGTAGCGTTTTCAGACCTGTTTCCTCTTTTACCCTTCTCTCTCGGGGTTAAAGAAACGGACCCCGTGACGTAATTCTCCGTCGGATAAAAAAAAATGATATAGAAATATATTGGGCCTATGATGGGCCATGGAGCTCAATATATGGCCCGTTATAGGCTTCGTACAGCCTTCACCTGTGACTGCGACAAGCGATGTATGAACTTAACTGAAGTTTGTTCAAGGATGGTTTCTTTTATTCGTGTTTACCCAAGGACACGTGTCGGCGAAGCCTCATGAGTTTATCGCCACGTGTCATTGTATTATATGTAAAGGCTTTTAACGGCGCAATATTACCTAGAATTCGGGCCGGAGTTTAGGCCCACTAACTTATCTGGGTCTCAATATTGGGCTTGGGCTTGTATTAGGGTTTAGGATCCAAAACCGCGAAACTTGTTCAATCTATTTCCTTTTCGGTCTCTCTCCGTCTCCGACCGCCTCCAAGCTCGGTTCTGACTTCTGCTTCGAACAACTCAGTTAGCTGATTATAAGGAGGCTTTGTTCTGCAGATTTTATTCGGAACTGAAATCGTTAAAGAGTATTGGGGGATCATTAGGGTTTCTGCTTCGAAGATGGGGAGGGCAAAGAAAGCTCAGAAATTTGCCGTCATGAAGAAGTTAGTCAGCCGCAAAGCTGTGAAGAAGTAATAATCGAATTCTTCTTCCTTGAAATCGAAAATTTAATCGGCTTTGAGGGTATGTGTTTGTTCTTAATGTTGGGTTTGTTTCTCCAGTTACAAAGAGGAGATTTTGAATCCGAACAAGAAGGATCTCACCAAGGACAACCTTCCGAGAAACGTGTAAGCTTCTTACCCTCGTTGCCAAGTCGAGATTTTGGCCTCTAAGAATTGATCTTTTTAGCGTTGGTTTTGTTTTTGTGGATCAGTCCTAGCGTTTCTTCGTCGCTTTTCTTCACGTACAATGCTGCTCTCGTGCCTCCGTATCGGGTGTTGGTGGATACGAACTTCATCAATTTCTCCATTCAGAACAAGGTTAGTATGCTAACATGGCAGAATTTGATCTTCTTTTGATGTGGAGTATGAACCAGAAGGGCTGTAGTTAGCAACTATATGTATATGATATGAACCAGAAGAGCTGGAGTTAGCAACTATATGTATATGATAAGAACTTTTACTCTGGTGTATGTACTGGCTTCAGCAGCATTCACATCTTCCTCTTTGTGATCGCAATTTCTTTCATTGTCAATTTCTCTAAGTTCTCTGCTTGTTGTGTGTACCTGTAGTTGGATCTTGAGAAGGGAATGATGGACTGTCTGTATGCAAAATGTGAGTAGCTTAAACCCTCGGCTTGTATTAGCAGATTTGTAACGTTCTTCCCCTTGTAAGCATGTGATTGATTTCTTAATCCTTTTGGGGTTGAAGGCACTCCTTGTATCACGGACTGCGTTATGGCTGAGCTAGAAAAGTTGGGGCAGAAATACCGTGTGGCTTTAAGGTATACACTAAAACTTGCGAGGAGGCTTTAGTTAGTGAAATTACATCAGGGGTTATATATTCAATCCTGTCCTGTTCTGTAGATTTTGAACTTGTCTTATCACATTGATGTCAGGATCGCTAAGGATCCCCGTTTTGAAAGACTACCATGTGTACACAAGGGTACATATGCTGATGACTGCATCGTCGAAAGGGTTACTAAGGTAGTATCTCATTCTGGCCTCTGTTATTTTGCTCAAAGGTCACTGAAAGTAGATGTTGTTTTCTACACTGTGTGGTGTATATTCTCTGTCCGTTTCATTCGGGGAGAGTTTCAGTGTAAGAAAAAGCTTAACTTTCTTGTTTTTTTAATTACAAAAAAACAGCACAAATGCTTCATAGTGGCGACCTGTGATAGAGATCTAAAGAGGAGGATCCGCAAGGTGAGATCAGTGGACGGGCAGAATACTTTTTTTTTTGTTAAACTTATTTAAGTTATATATTATAACCTAGCAGTGGAAGGTTAGTGATCTCTCTGATATTTGTTCCGGCAGATTCCTGGTGTGCCGATCATGTACATCACACAACACAAGTACTCGATCGAGAGGCTGCCTGAAGCTACAATCGGAGGAGGTAGGCCGCTTCATGTTGTGTTAATAGTTCGAAGTGTGGGATTCTAATCTTAAATTGTGAAGGGAATATTTGATTTTTTGGTTATCATCATATGTTTACTGGTGTATCTGACAATGTTTTGGTGCCTTTTGATGTGTGTTTTTTTTTGGCGGCGTAGCTCCAAGATTCTGATGAGGGGAGCAGAGATGGTGGTTCCAGAAATGTTGGAGGCACCCTTGGCAGGGGACAGGACAAGATCTCTGTAACGACCTTACTCCTGAGAGACCAACATAGATTACAACAACCTGGCCTGGCCTGAGTGTTGGTAGAATACATTGTAATGTCATTGATCACAAAGGGCACCTATTATTTGTTTATGCACGTGTTAATGTCAACTCAAGAACAGTGAGAGCAAACTGGTGATTTTATTTTTTCCTTAAAACTGAGGAATTAAACAAAATGGGCACTTTTCTTTCTCTATGTTACACACGTGAAGCTATATACAGAAAGTCTACCCAAGAATCTCGGGCACTCCATATCACTTACACGGGAAAGAGCTTCTGGTAGCAGTATAGGATGTTTCCAAGGTTGAAGAAGAAATCTCGAAGTATGTTGGCTTCGGAGTTGAAGGACAGGTCACGGCTTCAAATAGCTCCTGGACTGTGAGCATGTGGAACTTTGGAGGCGAGTTGAGGGCGATATTGTCAACCTTGTGTTCGTAGATCTTCCCGTTCTTGTCGAATTTGTACTCTGAAGTGCCATCAAACCTTCCATGGCTCTCCCATGGAACACGAGGTATTCCATGGGCAGTCCACCGTATCATCAGTGTGTTTTCTGCAGGTTGCCAGATGCTGATGATGTCAACCCGGAGAGCACGGAAGAAGATCCTGCCATGGAAACGTAATGACCAGAATATCGACTTGTAGTTCTCGACGCCCATGAAAGTGTTCATCGGGTCTCTGAACACAATGTCATCCCTGTGATGAAAAAGGAAGATTCTGTGAGAAAAAGGGCAGATTTAAGATTAAGTCCTAGGTTCATCCTGCAATCACTTGAGGCGTACATCACCTCTTAATGCGACATCTATAACAGATAACTTCGAGCAAAAACTAGGACAAAGGAGAGAAACTCCTTCCTCTCTTGAACAGACAAATGCCACTGTATATGTTACAAGATACGTGTAATCTGGTAGGATCCCAGAACAGCAGCAGAGCAACTTCCTGTAACTTAGTTCCAAACTCATGGTGAACATTAAGACAAAGGCATATCTGATCAACTCGGGTCAGAAGTTCGGAAAGGGAAGCACCAAATGTCAATATCCAAGCTTCGAATAACACAAACCATTTCTTCCATTTTCCTAAGCATTATCGACCCAGAAATGCATACCCAATAGACAATAATAACTCAAGGAAGCCGAAGCAAAACGGAAGAGATCGACCGAACCTGTAGATATCAAAACTGAGCTCTCTGTAGAAGAGATCGGGAAACTCTTCTCTGAGAGTACGAATAGCGTCGCCCAAGTTGGCATAGTAGTTCTGCTTCTCTTCTTCCTCACTGCTCCTTTTGTAGCTTTCCTTCACCAGAGCCGATGACTGTCCGAACAACCCCGCCTTTTGATCCTCGACACCTACACTAGCCTTAGAACCCAACCAGTTTCTCGTATCAGCCGCAGAAACCGCAACCCTCCTCAGAGATTTAGGGTTAGGATTAGGTTTCGAATTCGGATTCGGGTCGGCGAAAATCCTAGCGAAGACGGTGGATATTTCCGGAGAACGAACGAGAAAAGCCATGGCGAAGACAAGCTAGATCAAAAGGACAGCAAAGCAAACAACGTCTTCTGCAGCATTCTCCCGGGAAAACAGACAAGGAGAAGGGAATTCGGAAGGGAATATGCTTTGGATAGCGAGGAGATGAGGGGAGGCGAGGAGAGGTCAGGAGATGATTGCCATTGTCAACCTTGATTAAGACCTGCAAAATTCGAGAAAGATAAACCCATCAAATCTAACTAAAATTGTATAATTAATTTTAAAAGATATTGTTATTCGGCTTTTTCTTTTTCTAATTGTTGGTTTAAAGGTGTGTAGTCACTTTTCATAATTGGGCTCTTGTTGGATAGATAAGCCCAACCTTGGAAAAGGATCAGACTAAGCCCATTTAGTTTTACACTAGACATAGGGCTAATTACAGCCGTTGGATCTAGATTCATTAGCAGTAAACGGACGGTGGTAAATCCCCCTAATTTACTTGTAACCATGACAGGCCCAAGTAATGCTTATTTAACGGGAAATGTATAAAACTCGTAATATTTTCTTTTTTTTTTGATAAAAAATCTTTGAATTCAGTTTCGATTTCCCTGCGCAAAACCTTTGAATTCAATCTTCTCTTCGAAGATTCTTGTCTCTGATACACTCTCGGAGGAGGAATCCGTGTTTTCGGTTTTTGCCGTGGTAGCCGAGCTGTTGCAGAGGGAGAGCTATGTGGAGTTCGATCGCTGATTTGAAGGAGAACTTGAACAAGATCACGCTCGATGTGCACGCGACGACGACGACGACGAAGATATCGCTGTCTACAGTCCCTCCAATGGTGGTGATTTCTCCGGCTCCGAAAGGAGGAATTCTAGCGGGTTCAGGTATTCCAGGTCCGTTGCGAGGTCCCCGATCGCCAATGGTTATGGGGCCGAGTCGCCTGCTAATCACGACGTATTCTTCTGTTATTATCTTTTTTTCAATCAATTTATGTTCAAACTATTATTAGGTATCACATGGCTTCTTTTCCAGTTGCTTCGGCAATCTATATTTTATCTGGAGATTTGCACATCCGGAAATTAGGAATGGCTTTCGGTTTATCGTTACTGAGGTAGTCCTACTTGGATAGAACTTAATCGCAGGACTGGGGTTTGAGTTGGGTTTGTGAGACAAGCTCCGGTGAAGAGGTTAGTTTATTTGGAGAAATGTAGTTAGTTAAAAAATGTTATGTTATGCCTCTGCCAATTTTTGTAGATTGAGATGTATAAAGCAGAAATCAGGAAACTTCAGGGATCAGAAGCAGAAATCAAAGCTCTATCGGTGAATTATGCAGCTCTTTTGAAAGAGAAAGAGGTAACTTTTGGTGGCATCGAATCCATCGATGATGTGAAATCGGGCAGTTATCCTTTCTAGCCTTCACAGTTCATACACCTTCCCACTTTTGTTTCTTTTTCTTTCCTTACACCGGGACCACTGGATTACAGGAACAGGTTTCCAGATTGAAACAAAACCAGGCTGCGAGTAACTCCGCTCTTAAAGAGGCTAGAACCGACCTTTCCAGGGCATCAAACAATAATGCAATCAAGGTTTATGTCACTTCTATGTAATGCTCTGCTTGTGTATCTCTGTTGTTTGGAATATTTCATTTGGAATTTGCTTAGACAAATGCGTAGCATATCTATCAACTTTTCCATGTGCATTCTGTTTCTTGTGCTATTTGGTAATACTGCAGCTAGCCTGCAAAACTTTCTTTTCAGAAATAATGCAGCTAATTATGTGGTGCATGGTATGTGATGCCTATCTGTTTACATTCATGATGCATAATAAATAAGCCTTTACATGTAGCACGGATCATGTGCCTCTCACATAGATGTATGTTAAGATTTGCAGTTTCGATATTAACTAGTGGAATGATAGGGGCTCCTGAGTAACAGATTGTCAGTGGAATTGGCATTCATATTTATCTGCTTAGATCTAAAAATCTTGTTTTTGGGTCAAAATACATGCTCACTATATCAAGATGGAAGGAGGTCGAATCTCTGTTTCAATAGCTACCTCAACATAGTTATTTTCGAATATTATGTCGATTCTTCTGTTTATTTGGCATCAGTATTCATGAAGGTCAGAGACTATCAACTATTCATGAAGGTCAGAGACTATCAACTATTCATGAAGGTCAGAGACTATCAACTAACTTGTTATCTTCTGCAGGGTAATAATGGTCAGTCACCCGACAAGCTACAAAGATCGGAGTCTCATTTAAAAAATCTGAACCAAATGTACAACAGTTCTGATTCACATGTAAAAGAAAAGGTAATGCTTTCTCAGTTTCTTAACATTCTGTTGTCTATTAGATATTTACGTGTTGGAGTTTCAGAATGAAACTCCCAGATTGTTCTGCATATATAGCTGATGTTATGTTATGAGCCATTCTTCTCTGTAATGGAAGTGCCTCTTGTTGTTCTTCTATATGATCTTCTGATCGAATACTGAATTCTAAGCAACAAACTCAATGAATTTTAGAAGCTTGCAGATTTGCTAGAAGAGAAAACCAGTTCGCTGGCTGCTGTTCAAGCCACTGTTGAATTACAAAGGAAAGAACTTGAGAAAGAGCGGGAAAAATTAGCAAAACTGCAGTTTTCATTACAGGGTATATAGCAGGACTGCCAACATGGTTGTTTGTTTATTCCTTTCTTATCTAGTTTCTTATCCTCTCGCGCTTTTTTCACTTAACAGAGGAGCGGAGAAGGAATGAATCTTTTGAGGAAGAACTCAGATCTCTAAGGTTCGGTAAGGAAAAAGTAAGTGGATTTGATCTGAAGTGAACTTCCATACTCTCTTTTCAATTAGGAATCACCATCTTTTTAAGTTGCTGTTTTCTAATTATATTGACTTGAACTTTTACTTCATCTGATTGAAGACCTTCATGGAGATAAGCAAATTACGTGCTGAACTGAATGCAAGATTAATAGAAAGCAAACACCCTCAGATGCAGTTGAATGGTCAAGAGAACCAGGCTGTGGGAACTGGCATGGAACATTTTCAAAAAGTGAACAAAGCCCTGGAGAAGGAAAATACTGAGCTTAAGGTTAATCATGTTCCCGAGTATTCTGCGAGTACCAAATTAACTGTTTGTATTTCTCTCTGTGTTTTATCTCTTTTTTCAACTTTCTGTAGCTGAAAAAAGGTGAATTAGAAGCTGCTATGGATGCTACCAGGAGGCCAACAAGTAACAAAGTCTTCCCAGATGCACAAGGGGCCCTGATCAGGCATCCTGGTAACTTGAACAAGGTAAACTGGTCTTTAAATGCTAACTGAAATGTTGGATCCATCCATGTGGCAAAAGGAACTTTGTTTTATACCCATCCCGCCCTGCTTCAATTAATTGTATAGCTATCATTTATTGGTCCTTTTCATGCATTCCATCGCTTGAACTAGGAGAAACCAGAAAGCTTCTCTGGAAAAGAAGAGATGGAGCAATCCTTGATCAGGTTGGAGGCACTGGAAGAAACACGGCATGAAAGGGATAAGGCTCGTCAAGAACTCAAACGACTCAAACAACACCTGCTAGAGAAGGTTATTCATCCTTAAATCCAGCTAACCTTCTGTTAATCCAATAATGAGATCGTTATCTACCATCTTTGTTAGAGCATTATATAGCTGCACATCAAAACCTTGCAAATTGTCTTGGCTTTCCAGTGCTTGAGTTGAGATGTGTGATCAACTCATTGTAGTCCATGTTTTCTTATTGATTTTCCTGTGCTGTGGTTCAGTGAAGTTTTCCTTGCCACAATTTTACAGGAGTCCAAGGAATCCGAGAAAATGGATGAAGACAGCAGACTGATTGAAGAGCTCCGCCAGACCAATGAATATCAACAGTCTCAGATATTACGATTGGAGAATGCTCTTAAGCAAACAACTGCTCGTCAGGAGGACATCAAGATGAACAATGAAGATGAAATCCGAAAGTCTAAGGAAGCAATTGAGGAACTGAATCAAAAGCTTGCAAGTTGTTTGAGAACGATAGAGGGCAAAATATAGAACTGTTAAATCTTCAAACTGCTCTTGGTCAGTACTATGCTGAAGTGGAAGCTAAGGTTGATATTAGGAAAATGCTCACCCATTTTTCAGTCTTATGCAGGAAATATGTCTTAATTCATTTATGTGTTCCTATTCTCAAATGTTTTAGGGGCATTTTGAACGAGAGCTCGCAATGGCCAGAGAAGAATCGACAAAACTTTCCGCTCGGTTGAAAGTACGAGCCATCCTCCCTTTCCTTTGTCAACTATGTTCAGATCAAACATAGGGACTTTCAATTGATTCTGTGTGGATGTTTTGAAGGATGCCGATGAACGATTAGAGACATCGAAGAAAGATAAGGAAGAAGTGACATCCAAGCTGTTGCAAGCGGAAAAGGTTGCAGCAGAATGGAGAAGCAGAGTAAACAAACTTGAAGAAGACAATGCAAAAGTACGCCGTGTTCTGGAGCAGAGCATGACAAGGCTCAATAGGATGTCTATGGATTCAGACTATCTCGTCGATAGGTAAGTAAACGTCAGCGACTGTGCTTTTTTGGCATTGTATATTTTTCTACCTCGTCAGATTTAAATGTTATATTTTCCGATAGATGGAATTTCCGACACTTAATTAAATCTTATATTATTCGTTCATGGCAGGCGTATTGTCATCAAATTGCTAGTCACATACTTCCACAGGAACCATAGCAAAGAGGTAAGCTTGGAATTAACCCCAAAATCTGTTTAACATTTACACCACGATCTGATATAGGAGCTGGATCAAGAAGTCTCCCTAAATATTATCCATTTCATCGACTAAATCCATCCAAATATTGCATGGTGGGTATAGGTATTGGAACTTATGATACGGTTGCTGGGTTTTACGGAGGAAGACAAACAACGGATAGGAATGGCTCAGCAAGGAGCCGGGAAAAACGTTGTCAGGGGCGTATTGGGCTTCCCTGGCCGCTTAGTCGGCGGTATCCTTGGCGGTGGCTCTTCTGATGCACCTTCTGACATGGCTTCTGATAACCAGGTAAACTCTCACGTCCTAGTAATAATAACCCTTCAGGATAGGTTCAATCTAGTAGGATTGGGCATTCGGATCGGTTTTGGGAGAATGAACATTTTGTGGTTTTCTAGAACCGGATCCGAATAGAGGCGGAAATCGAAATGTCCTCCCCCTAATTCAAAGGAGGCCTTGGTTTGAGGCTCTAAGACCTGTTTTCGATGGTTGTTTTCAGTCATTTGCGGATCTGTGGGTTGATTTTCTGCTAAAGGAGGAGGAAGAACGAGAGAGAAGGGATGCGGAAGATGCTGCTAATAATAAAGCCAGGCGAGGATCTCCACCTCCTCAGACGAACGGAAACACCAAACATGTCTCCAGTTCCTCTAACCCGGGGTTCTGGAGAATTAACTATGATTCGGCGGTTCCTCTTGCATCATCGGACGGCACTTCTTGATTACAATTACATGGCTCACCAAAAAAATAACGATCAATCACCGGGTATTATTATGTATACGCATGAACACATACCGAATTTGATTACATAAATAATAAGCCGACAGAAACGAATTCTGGATATTGGAACAAACCGATCAAATCGGTGGGGAACTCTGAACTTTGGGTCGGGGAACAGCAACAGCACAATCAAATACTAAACCACCTTTGGTTTGAGAGGGCGAATAGGAATCTTAGAGAGAACCATTTCATCAAGAACTGAGTACTGCTTCTTGAGTTCGATGAACGCCTTCTCTGCCATAGGATCCACCTTGTCCTCGTTTTTCTCGTACAGCACTGGCACCGTGTGCAACACCACAACGCCTGTTTCAACGTTTTCACGTCATATCCATTCCTTCATCACTCTTCTCTTTCTTTGTCTAGTGTTTTATCAAGTGACAGGTGAAATCTCTGCAACTATCTCTCCCTGTATTAGTACTGTTACACTTACAGATGTATATCAGTGTCAACAAGTGGCACCAGCTTCCCACGATGGAGATGACCCACAGCCCGGCAACGACCTGCCACAGAAAGCAAACCCCATTTCTAATTTTCAAGCCAAATGCATACAGAATCCTGTTGTTTGCGACAACCAACTCATACGGGGAAGAAACAACAAAATGGACAGCATTACAAACGTACTACTGCTTGATTATTTGACTACATCTCTCTCCAACATAAAACAGAACCTACCTTCAGGAGTTTCTTCAAGTCTTTTCCCAGAGCAATGTTGCGCAAGACTGTAAACGCATGGTTCACCTCATTTCTGATCGCAGAAGCAATGAGAAGGAAAGGCTCCTCAGCAACATGGATTTCAGGAATCTGCGGTGGAGACCTGAAAACAAGATTCGAAGCCAATTACAGAACCGGAAACAAGCTGTGCAAACGGTAACCATGATTATGTATGGAAAGCTCACTTGTTGATAAAGCTGTGAGCATTAGACCAGAGAAACAGGACTGCGAGGGTGAGTATCGAAATGTGACAAACAAAACTCAACAAGTGATACTCAACCAGTTCAAACAGAACCCATACGGCAGTTGTCGTGCCGAGAACAGCAGCCGACAGTTTCTTATCCCTCCACAAGAGCACATCAGCAGCTGCGCATAGTTGAAGTAACGTTGTTACTAGGAAAAAAAGATCACATGACCATACAAAAGAAAATCAGATCACCAGACAAAAAATTCTCATTCATTAATTCACACCAACAATTTCGACGTCCAAATCGCTAAGGGTTTCTCTGTTCCAGAAACAAATTACAAGGAATCGAGCCGTGAAAATGTAGCTCTAACAAAGAATAAAAACAGGTTCATCCCAAAACCATCTATCGAACCCCCAAAATAAATTCAAGCATAGATTGCGCATATCCAAATGCACATTGTCGAACATTCAACACTACACGATCAAAAACAAACTTTCCTCTGAAACAGATACGAAACCTTCAAATTGCAGATCAAATATCAGCCAACGGTTGAGAAATACGATCAAAACGTGAGGAGAAAAGAATACGATAACAGAAATTGACGTACGCTTTCCACCACCGAAGACCTTGTGAACAGGTTTCTCTCTGCCAAATAGACGATAAATCTTCTCTTTGACGGCCGAAGGAGATTCCATTTTCTCGTTATCCGAGTCCGACGATGACGACGAATCGTGATCGTGGATCTTATCGGCGATCTTCTCCAACAACGACTCCTCCGCAGGCGTAGAATTCTCCATTTCGTCCGCCATTATCTTCCTCCGACGCTGATCCAACCAACAGATTCAGACCACAAAATATCGTTACGTGACGAGAGGAGGAGACGGGAGAGGGAAGATGGAAAAAGAAAAGGTTACGAGGATATATATATAGGCGCGAGTCTCATGTTCGGAGAAGATTTGAAATAGGCAAGTTAACGGCGTTACTGTTCCGTCTTATAAACAGGCATGACGGACGTTAACGTTTGGAAGACGGAGACGGACGCCCCCAGCGTTTGAGATTCTTCCTTAGCGCCTGTAGTCGAACGTGGAGGCGACCAAGGTACCGTAGTATCGTGCGACCTTTCATAAAGTAGACCATCGGATGGTGAACACGTGTCCACCATTTTATCATCGTCTGTATAATCGACGGCTAAGACTTCCGCTCTCTTTTCCAAGAGAAGCACGGTCGAAACGGCGTCGTCGGACGACAGTAGAAGGAAGTCTCTGTCTGCATCGGCGGATTTCAATTTGGGCCCACGGCGGCTACAAGAGTTGTCCAAATGGACATGTCTAGGAAAATCCGACTGTGATCTAGCTTCAGACAACAAGTATCGCCTTTTTCTTTTCCTTAGGATTTAATTACAGAATCAGGCAGGCACTAAATATATACATTTAACAAAAATCAAGGGACAATCCAACAAGTGAAGCAAGAAATCAGACTCCAACACAAATACATGTGATAAAATAATACGCATCATCATCATCATCATCATCATCAGAGAAGGTGGGTGGGAGTTGCAGCTGCTGGCTGCTGCATTCAATACAATGGCTTTGGGTTTTGGGGGGGGGGGGGGGAAAAAAAAAAAAAA